GCCCCCAAGCTAAGAAGAAGGATCTGATATCTCTTGAATCATTGTCACATTGTACCATAACGTACAATGTCATGCATTGCAACGAAAAAAAATGGTGTCTGTTGTTGGGCATGTAATTGATACATACCCTGCCCGTTATTAACTCTTGAAGCAACCAAATCAATGCATTTACCCTTCTATCCTAACCAATCAATTGTACGTGTTGATGAAAAAAAATATGAACCGCCCGCTCATGCAGTTTGCTACAGATGGCATCTCTAATGAAATGCAATTTGCCACATTTTCTAAAGTAGGGATATTATTCCACTTAGACAGTCGTAATTGATTCGACCAATCCCAATCCACATTGGGCTCACTCTCAACCCTCACTCTTATCACAAAGTACATTAACTCATGTTCTAAGTGAGCCAATGACCGACAACATTGTGGCATGCTTGCAACATGGGACAAGGGCCACAATCATCCTCTTGTCTTAGTGCTGCTACCTCCTGGTTCTATATTGGACTTACCCTTCATCCGGGCTCTACCATGATGGCACGACACTCATGTGTGGCCACGGAAAAAGAAAACTATGAATAGAAATGTTCTTCCAAAGCATGAAAAATGTCAATGTTTCTCTCCTCTTCCCTCCCTCGCGCGCACATGCCTGATTTGTGATACAAATTTATGTACCCGTGAGAAGAGCAACAAAAAATCCCCTCACTTTCTATCTCCTACACCAAAAACTGCCTTGATGTCACAAAATTTACCAATTCTACGCTCCAATAAACCCAATGAAAGAGAGGGCATATCATGTTGGAACCTTGAGTTTCCCTTCAACACAAGTTGGACCCGTCAGCTAAATACAACATTCAAAATGTTCGGAGTTAACAGGGAAAACCAGCTAAAATGTAATAAACAAAAATATATACAAAGAGAAAATCTAAAGCGCACACCCAATGAACGAATCAAGCTCACATGACAACTTAATATAAGCTTATTGTAGCTATTCTAATATCTGAGAAGTGCAAACTGTAAACGCCATTGTCTACTGTACGAATTCTTAAGAATAAGAGTGATGTTACTATGCAAGATACAAACTTGACAGCGACAATGTACTATGGATGCAGGATGTTGTTTATGATTGATTGGTTAGGCTAACTTGTTAGAGGCCAAAAACAAAATAAAAAACTTGTTGGCTGGTTGTGATCCTCTATCGAACGGAACTATAAATGAAGCCGCCAACGCATCATCAAGAATTAAAGCCATGGCTCTTCTAGAAAAAAATAGTGATGTATTGAAATATGTATTTGACGGATTGAAGGGAATCATAACTGGTCAACTCATTGTATCCTTCAATACCTAAGATGAAAAAGAAACACCCCAATATAATTACATATTCTCTGACCACCCTCTACACAAGTTCACAATGAGGAAAAATGATACATTCAATTCTGGACAATAGATTAAAAACATGTTTGCTCTATGTATCAAGAAAAACCGCTGCTAGAGTTCAACAAGTAAAATATTGCTCAAGAACGGATGTGTGATTTATAATATTCTGAAGATTACGTGAAACAGAACCTTGCTGGAGCGACACTGTTCCACATACAAATGGAAATACACACCTTGGACAATCTTTCTGTGAAACCATCCCATATCTTCTTATTAAATTCATATGTGATGTCACCGAATTGGAATCCATGAACTCTCTCTAGTGTTGTAAGCCCAAAAAAGAAGCATATATTTGAGTTTCAGAGAAAAAAATAAGTTTGTACCCATAACGACATAAGTTGCAAGGACTCTATTGAACATAGAAGCTTCCAAAAAAATTAATTAAAAAAAGGTATCCTCTAAATCTAGCGTAGATGCATAACAACTGAAAGTAACAAACATACATGCGCCATAATTTTACTAATAACTACTTGCCTAGACATAATGGGAGTCGTTGACAAAGGAGGTGGATCCACATCCTGCTATGTATGAGAGGAACATCAGCTATGAAATTTATCTTCGAGATACTTCCATCTTATACAAGCTAAAATTAACTTGTCAACACACCTTTGACTTGAATTAGCATGGCTCTTACAATACAGAGTGTTCACTATTTTTCTGAAACCTACCTTTCTGAATCAGAATCAACAATACAAAATGATCACTATTGAGTACTGAACTACACATAGTTTGCAATTGACGAACAACTTCATCAAGTATATCTGTGTATGTAGAAGAAGCCAAGGAGAGTACTCTGGCGAGAGCGTACGTCATGGAGCGAGGCTCCAGTCCAACACTCCCAGCCCTCCCATGAGGATGCCCACCATACGTTGCAGTCCTGTAGCTTGTTAATTAAGTACAAAAACGAGAATCAATACCTAAGAGAAAAGTTGTTTTAGAGCTCGCATGCTCCTCAACTAAGTAGATGGCTGGAATAATACCAATGGTACACAATCTGGGTGAAGCACAAGCCTTGCGCGTCCTCCACCATGCTCCTCCTCCTCCTCTAAGTCCAGAGCACCGGCCGGCCCCGTTTTCGTTCTGCCTAGGTATAGTCTGCCGAGGTGGCAGGCTGGCAGCAGCTTCGCGACAGCCTCCTCCGAGCTCCAGTGAACTGGCAACGTTGGTGCCAGTGTGCGGCGCAGTGGAGCTTGCCCCCGACAGAGCTGATCTCCGAGTCCCACATGGCGCCTTGGCAGATTACGATCTCGTGTCGCGTCGAAGAGGACGACCATGGTAGTGCGCGGCCGGGTAGGGCATGGCGGGGACGAGACATCCGCCTAGGATGCGGTTTTGTCGGCTGGCGAGTAGCTGGTCGGAGGTGGCCGGCATCGACGAGAACGGCACGGTGCCGTCACGATCGGACCCGGCCGTCGAATGGAAGGAACGCGCTGGCAAGGCGATCCGGCGCGTCTACGATGGCTACACGAGGCAGCGCTACGCGCCCGTGGCCGGTAGTAGGTGCACCAACGAGTTCTGCTCTGCTCGCCCTACCATGTGCACGTTCAAAACTCACCCGACCATGCGCACATTCTCCGCCGCCGCCGCGTCTGCCTCGTCCAAAACAGCTTGGGGGAGAGACGAGGAGGATTTGAGGAGGCTGCGGAGGAAGGAAGCAAGATTTACGGGATAGGCGGACGAAGGGGTGGGGTTTCATTCGATCGATGGGAGGCGGGGATCCAAAGCGTGGGGTTTTTAGGAAGGTGATCCCATATGAAACTTGTGATTGTCAAGCATGGCACGCGTGATTAGTGATTTGTTATGAAGAAATATATTATTTTATTATGGAAGATTATCGAGAAAATCTCGTGTCTGTATTTTAGGAAGGTGATCCCACATATATGGTGTAATTTCTGAATTCTGAATTACTTATTGTTTACATAATTGAATTGAATCAACACCTACCAAAGGAACCATGAAACAAGATCTCTCCTTAATGGGGTTTGGTTTTTTAATGGGAGGAAGAAAAACCAATGAGAGAAGGTGGGACGAAGTAAAACCGAACGAAAAAAAAGTCAGACGAAAAAAAACCAGACGAAAGTGGTGGGACTATTCAACCAACTCATCCATTAGGAGTAGAGATTTGGGGATTAGAGGGATGGGGTGAGATTTGAGGGGATTGGGCGGAGTGAAGGGCTTCACCAAATTCCTTCACGTCCGCAATCGATTTTAGGCTTGCAATCGTGCTCTTAACCGGACATCCTAGCCGTCCATCTTGTGATCCAGTGGCCCAAGACGCAATCATATGTTTCCTTTTCTTTATTACTACGTAGTACTCCCTCCGTAAACTAATATAAGAGTGTTTAGATTACTATTTTAGTGATCTAAACGCTCTTATATTAGTTTACAGAGGGAGTATTTGGCATCTACCAGACTTGTGTTGCACGCAGCATCATACCAAGAGACGACGGCCAAAGCTGCGTTCCACGGCTGTAAAGCAATAAAGCGCGGGAACTAAACTAAACTGAACCAAAAAAGGGTCGATGCATATAGTATGCATGTCCGGCAAGGAAAGGTATCCACTGTCCAGGCAGCCGTCATTTTATCCTCGAGGCCAACGGATCGAATCTCTGACAGGTCGAGAGGCCGAATGCCCCAGACCGCGGGGACGGCTGCCTTAAGCATCAAGTTTGTCACAAACTTGACGTAACCCAGCCTCCACAAGCAAGCAATCGGCTGTCCATGCAGCCGAGGGAAGCAAGGAACAAATCTAGCCTGGATTTTCCCGTCGATCGTTCGTGCGCACGCCCTGTATCTATATATAAGGTGCAGCTGCCGATACAATCCTTAAGCCGCCTGAAATACTGATACTGACCAGTAGAAGAAGTAGAGCGCAGCCTCTGAATCTGATCGGTGGAAGCGTTCACAGCTAGGAGCACGCACGCACACATGGCGAACGCGGGGCTGAAGCCGGTGGCCGGCCTCCTCCTGATGCTCAACTTCTGCATGTACCTCATCGTCGCCGCGGTCGGCGGATGGGCCATCAACTTCGCCATCAACAACGGCTTCTTCATAGGTACGTACTGCTCACTGCTAGTGCATAATCCGGGTGCATTATCTTGTAGGGAACAAGCGTTAATTCGCGGTGTCCTCCGTGCCTATGTATCTTGTGTAAATTCCCTGGGCTGAGCAGATGTTTGTTGTTATACAGGTTCCGGGCTGGAGCTGCCGTCACACTTCTCTCCGATCTACTTCCCGATAGGGAACGCGGCGACCGGGTTCTTCGTCATCTTCGCCGTGATCGCCAGCGTGGTCGGTATGGGGGCGGCGCTTGCCGGGTTCCACCATGTCCGCGCGTGGAGCCACGAGAGCCTGCCGGCGGCAGCCTCCTCCGCGTTCATCGCCTGGATGCTCACGCTGCTTGCCATGGGGTATGTAGGAGTATATGACCACTTCTGCGTACCACACTCCCAACTCTCTTTGCATGCGTGCATATGTAACGTTTTGCCTGACCTATTTGTATCCTCTTTGGCACCTTCTGATTCTCCAGATTGGCAGTTAAGGAGATTGACCTGAACGGCAGGAATGCTAGACTGGTAAGACCGACAGACGCACTGTTTAATTTGATCAGCATTCGTAGTCGTAGGGAATCAAGTTGTGAGTTTGTGACTACTGATGTGGCACGATATAATTATTAATAACTGTTTGTGTTGGTCTGGATTGACTCGTAGATAACCATGGAGGCTTTCACCATCATACTGTCGGGGACGCAGCTCTTCTACATACTCGCTATACACGGAGGGAGGTGAAGGGCCAGCTCAAGTGGGCAACATCGATTGCCGATGGAATATTTGCTTCCAAGCGTGATGATTCAAGGCCGATATATCAACTACAACTAGGCGAGCATTGGTTCACGGCCGGGTTGCATGTATACATCTTTGATGTGGTGTTAAAAATTTGTGTATCGTGTGTTTATTGCTGAGACGGAAATGCACTGTGCATGTGTGAGTTTGTGTGTGTGTGTAAGCGTTAGATGTGTGTTCAGATTTCCGCGTGATTTGTTGATTGGAAACCAAACACTAAGCTATCATATTCATTTGATTTGAGTATATCGTCTTTTTTACGAAAATTGTTAATGTTAATTACTTCCTCTGTTCATAATGTAGTGCATGCAGATTTTTTTTTAAGTCAAACCTCACACCCGTTGATCAAGTTTGTGAAGAAAAACATTTACATCTTGAAAGCTAAACATATATCATTAGACTCATCATAAGATGTACTAATTTCATATTTGATATATTTGGTGTTGTGTGTCATAGTTTTCTCAGCGAGCAAAAGCACCCCCCCCCCTGCGGCATTCACATGTATGCGCTTTGGGATGACCCATGTGCGTGATGGGGCGCCCCTGTTATTTTTTCTGTTAATAGTTTTTTCTTTGTTAGCTTCGAAAAAATGTTCACGACTTCTGAATTCTAAAAGGCCGTTCTGGATATCATACAGTGTTAATAAACGAATTTCTAAAAATTGATTGTTAATTTAAAAATGTGCCCAAGTTTGATTGTTAATTGTTTCTGTTTTTCGATATGATTAATCTTTATCTATCTTATATTTTTCTTCTTTCAATTCGAAAATTTGTATGTTCAATTTTTCAAAAAATGTTCGCATTTATGTGTGTGTGTGTGTCTGTGTGTGTGTGTGTGTGTGTGTGTGAGCGTTAGATGCGTGTTCAGATTTCCGCGTGATTTGTTGATTGGAAACCAAATACGAAGCTATTATATTCATTTGATTTGAGTATATCGTCTTTTTTACGGAAAATTGTTAACAGTAATTACCCCCTCCATTCATAATGTAGTGCATGCGGATTTTTCTTAAAAAGCCAAACCTCACAAACATTGATCAAGTTTGTCGAGAAAAATATATACATCTAGAAATCCAAACATATATCATTTGATTTATCATAAGATGTAGCTTCATATTTGATATATTTAGTGTTGTGCATGTCATAATTTTCTCTGTAAACTTGTTCAAAGTTTGCAAAGGTTGACTTAAAAAAAATCTATGCACACTACATTATGAAAAAGCGAAGTATTAGTATCAAGCACTGTTTTGGGGTTTAGGGTGTTCATCTGGCGCATGTATCATCGGCTAATTGGACAGATCCAAGCAACCAACTTCTCGCTCATTGCCAACACAACTGTTGTGTATCACTCGTAGCAACTGTTAAGGGAGCACCTATAGGCCGCTCGCTGCGGCGAAATGCCGGCGCTTCGCACAGGAGCGGCTAGCGTGGGCCGGCCCATTTACAGTGGCACGCGGCGGAACGTTTCCGAGATGAAAAGTCGCAAAAAAGAAATTAGCGATAGCGCTGTAACTCGAACACGTGACTTCGCACTAAGTGGCCTGCCGTGCAAACCACTGTGATGTAGACATTATCACGTTCAACTAGCAGCGCGATAGTTAAAGACTACAGATAATTTATTGGGTCGAACCGACGACCTCCTACAACTCAATTTTTCAAAATTATGAATATTTTCTTCAAACTAAAAACATTTTCCGAATTTTCGTACAAATTTTGTAAAACAGGAACATTTTGATGATGTGAACAAATTTGAGAAAGGGGAACATTTCTTGAATTTGTGAACAAAAAACAAAAATGTTTATATTTTTAAAACTTCCAGAATATTTTTTGAATTTGTGATTTTTTTAAAAACATGAACTATTATTGAATTTGTGAACAAATTTGGAAAGCTGGAATTTTTTTTTGAATTCTCAAACATTTTTTGAATCTTGAGAACAAATTTTGAAATGGTGAACAATTTTAAAAAATCCTGAACAAATTTGGAAGCGCGAACAATTTTTTAAAGCATGAACATTTTTTGAATCTTGAGAACATATTTCGAAATGGAGAGAAATTTTAAAAAATTCCGTACAAATTTGGAAGTCCGGACAATTTTTTAAAGCACAAACATTTTCTGAATCTTGAAAACATATTTTGAAACAGAGAGAATTTTGAAAAATCCTGAAAAAATTTGGAAGAGCTAACATTTTTTGAATATGTGAACAAAAAATTTAGTACATTTTCTGAATTTCAGAACTTTTGTACTTTTTTGTGTAACGAGAACAAATTTTGAATTTTGAGAACATTTTTTGGAAACACGAACAATATTTAGTTTTTTTTAAAGGACAAGAAGAAAAGAAAAGAAATAAAGAAGAAAATCATAAACGTTTGTAAAACTACGAACATATTCTGATAAAGAAAAGTAAACTTGAAAAAAAATGAAACAAGAAACAAAAAACGAAAAAATGAAAAAGAAACAGAAACAAAAAAAAGAGAAATAAAAAAACAATAGAAAGCCGAAAAAGAACCAGAAAAAACGATACAGGAAAAAAACCGGTTCAGGGAACCATCTGGACGGTTCCCAAAACCGGTTTGGACGCATTATGTGTGGGCCGGCCCATTTCTGTCGCTCGCTGCGCTGCCCCTGTGCGATCGCTCGACCGTTTGCCGCAGCGAGCGGCGAATAGAATTTTCCAACTGTTAAGGCTCGGATCGCCCACGTGCGTAGGTACATGGGCTGGCCCATTAAACATTAAGCGAATTGAGAGTGTCACCGGTTTTAGGAACCATCTACAAGGGACCTCCTATCCGTATGCAGTATGCGGTGCTC